CACCACCTTAGGTGTATGTGGCTGGCGCCTTAGCCGCTTGAGCCACAGGCGCCGAGCCAGACCAAGAATTTTTAATGGACAGGCAAGAAGTAACTCTTTCTCCTCTGCATTTGCCACTGGGGCTGCTAGGCTATTTTGCCACCCTGAGGAGGACAGCCTGCTACAGAAGTACACTCACACCCGAGCCCCTCTTTTTCCATCTGAGGATCACTGTGAGGTATCAAGAGAGCCAAACTCTTAGCCCAGTGCCTGGTACACAGTAGGCACTCAATAGGTACTAGGTCCTGTTGTTATGGCAATATGGAGAAGTTGCATTGTCAGGTGTGGAGGAGAGGGAGCTTTGCAAACTTAGTGAAGGAAACTGTTTGGGAGGCCTTTGGGGATCTCCACCCAGGGAGGTGTTCTGAGGGAGGACCTGCATCTGCAGCATTCCAGAAAGCAGCAGAACTGGCCTGGTGTGGGCAATCAGGAAAGTACTATAGATACTTCTGGGAGGAAGGACAGGCCAAGCCCTCCCTCAGGTGGGAGCAGCCCATGGAGACCCAAGAAATCACTTTAGCAAATTGTGGACTAAGCCTCTCTCATCTAGCTGGGGGCGGGGGAGGAGCTCAGAGAGTAAACTGTCTCTGCGCCCCCATCCTCTGTCAGGCCAGGATTCCCACAGGCCTGACTCCTGTCAGACCACAGGGTCACACAAGGAGGAAACTTAAATTCTCCCAGCAGACCAGGCAGTCTTTAAGGCAGGCTTCAGCCACCCCAGCAGATGGAGAAGTCCCACAGGTAGTGGGTTTGGCTTCCCTGAGGGCTGAAGGGTCCTACAGGGGAGGGGCCTCAGCCTCTCCATCAGTAAATACTCTTTCAAGGGATGGACAAGACCCCCCCAAGACTGGATGCTCAGGTGGGCCACCCAGATCAGACTCAGGAGCTCAGCAGGAAGGCCCCTGAGGAGGGTGGAGTCCCATACAAAGGAGCAGGGCTGGACCTCCCCCATCAGACTGCATAATCACATTCATTGGAGAATGGGCCATCCCCATCAGACAGGGTCTCCCACCAGAACAGGCTGGGCTCTCCCCACCCCCACAGCATGGAATGTTTCAAGGAGAGAAGGGTGTGCCACTGCCCTCAGATTGGGATCCCACAGGAGACCACAGGGTTGCATGGTGAGGTCCCCCACTGGTCTGCCCCACGTACGCATGTCAAACAGGTCCTTCTTGGGGCTGTCCTCAGGCTCCGGGGCATCCAGACCCTGAGTGTTGACATACAGATGTCCCTCGTAGACCCGGGGGCCCCTTGTATCTGCTTGCACGTAGCCATCCCCCGGTGTGGCTGTAGGGGATAAGGAGAGGTGTGGGGTCTATGGGGGACTGTGCTGGCCTTGTTGGCAGCAGGGCCCCCTGCATACTGCATGTCTCAAACCAGGTGGGAGGTGCCCCACGAATGCCCCAGCTAGGGACATAGTAGACAGTACATGCAATCAGAGGCCATGGCACCAGACCCCCCACACACAGGCAGGAAGATGGCCCAGGGGCCAGAGCTTCCCACTGTTTATGTTACATTTCCACATTTAAAAAATAATAATAGCTCTTCTCTATATATAACTATATGATCAACATGATATGTGATTGGGTCATTTGTTTTATCTTAGTTCCATTTTAGGATTTTTCTTTCTTTTTTTTTTTAATTTATTTTAGAATATGTAAAACATTTACATGGTTCAAAAACCACAGCTGCATTAAAAGGTACCCTTGGAGGAGTCTTGCTCGGGTCTACCCAACACCCTATCCAGATTCTGCTGGGTCCTAACCACACAGCCTCTGCCCTTAAGAGCAATACCTGGCACAGACTAGGATACCATATGAATGCCAAGGCTGCACCAGCCCTGGATGACTGACATGGGCCAGGGGTTTCAGCCTGGCCTTCCCCATCTGCCAGGAGTAGGGGCACAGATTCTCTCAGCCTCTTGTGGTCAGGACTACGTGAGAAGAAAGAAGCTGCAAGAGGCCAGTGTGGGCAAGAAGACACTTCATGGGGCAGATGGTTGGAGAGATTTTCGGACATCAGAGCTGGGGCATTTACATGTCAGTAGGAGTTCTTGGCAGAGAATCGGGAAAAGCATGACAGTAAGTGGTGACAGTAAGTGGTAACAGCATGCGTAAAGGCACAGGACTGGAAAATATAGGTGAACCCTGGAGTTGTGGAGAACAGCCTCTATCTCAGAACAGAAGCAGACTAGGACGAGATTGCAGCTTGGTACATGGTGGTCACTCAATGGTGTGGGCTTTCTTTAACCACTGAAAGCCAATGAAGGTTCTGAGGCTTGGCAGTGAGATGCTCAGAATATTTGGGCAGATCTAAAAAAAGGTCAACACAGATATTGGTAAGGCTGTTAGGAAACAGGCAGCCGCAGGCGGAGCTGGTGGGAGAATCAGCCAGCATACCACCTCAGAAAGCAGATTAGCAGCCTCTGGTCATGTGATGAAGGTTGGCTATGTGACCCAGCAGTTCCACTGCTGAGGGGTCTGCCGCTCTGCTGTACAGCAGCTGCCCTATATAGCGGGAAGCTGGAAGCACCCTAAATGCTCATTAAGAGGAGACCATGGAGATAAGTAAACTCCAGGGAGGGCAAACAGCACTCAATTGTTCAAAAGAATGCATTGACACAGCTGAGAACCCCAAAGTGATCAGGGGAACAATACCCACTGCATGGTGCCTTATGTGTAAAATTCCCTTGGGCTCCTATTTGTAAAACATCTGAAAAGAGACACAGAAATGTGCAGAAAGATGAGCTCCCAGAATGGGATTTTAGCCTTTTAAAATAAAAAGTTAGTCATTTTTAATTTTGTGTAACAGTATATGTGAACAAGCTTCCAAGTCCGGTGTGGTAGCAGGTACCTGTAGCCCCAGCTACTCAGGAGGCTGAGGCAGGAGGATCACCTGAGCCCAGAAGTTTGAGGCTTCAGAGAGCTGTGATGGCACCTAGGAATAGCCACTGCACTCTTGCCTGAACAACAGAGACCTCCATCTCTAAAAAAGTAAAGATTCCCCAGGCGTGGTAGCTCACACATATAATCCTAGTGCTTTGAAAGGCAAAGTAGGAGGATTGCTTAAGACCAGGAGTTCAAGATCAGCCTAAGAAAGAAAGAGGCCCCATCTCCCCCCAAAATAGAAAAATTAGCCAGGCATGGTTGTGGGCACCTATAGTCTCACTGCCTGGGAGGCTGAAGCAGGAGGATCACTTTAGCACAGGAGTTTGAGGTTGCAGTGAGCTATGCTGATGCTACTTCACTCTAGCTTGGGATATAGAGACCCTGTCTCAAAAATAAAATAATATAAAATGAGGGCCATAGTACCTGGTGGGAAAGTCACTTAAGGATGCCACTACATGACACCTATCAAAATGGGATGAGTGGCTGCCCCCTGTAGAGGTGTTCAATGAGGGCTTGCACGCAAGCTGAATGTGGACTTTCAAGTTTCCTCACTGCGCTGTTGTTTGTCATAGCAAATGCCTGGAATCTGCACAAATGTCCAGGAATAAGAGGTGGGTGAAGTAAACTATGGTCCTTTACATAGTAGAGAAAAAGAATGAGGAAGACTGACATGAGAAATGGGGAAGGACATGGACACAGCAGGGTGGAAGATGTGTGTGCAACATGCTCCCATCTGTAAAAACAGGGAAAGCAATACACATTTGGATTGGTTGAATAGCTGAGGGAAATTCTGGGAAAATAACTGAGAAACCACTGGCTATAAACAGTAGTTACCTGATTAGGGAGGTGAAGAAGGCAGATACAGACAGGGATGAGAGATAATCCCCCTGAGTGGCTTTCTACATTCCTTGGTGTTTTGAACCATGTGAATTAATGCAGTGTCTATTCCCCAAGAAGGCAATGAAACTAGTATGTGCAGGGAAACAACAAACTAATGATCAAAATTTTAGCAGAGTATGGGGGGGCACACACAACCTCTTAGGTGGATATGAAAGAAGTCAGGGAACAGAGAGAAGGGAGGTGGCAGCAGATAAGGCAGAGGGTCCCCAAGCCCATCTTACCTGTACCTGAGGACCCCAGGTCCCATGGCAGGCTGTGGGCATCTCTTCGAGCAGAGGACGTGCCCTGGAAAAAGAGCAGTGGTGTGAGGCCCCTTCAGTATATGCAAGCCTCTCTTCCTGGCCTGTTATTCCCAATGTCCCCACCCCAGCCCTCCTGGAGACTTAAGACAAATGGAGGTCTCAGCTCTAACCCTTCTCAGCTCTCAGCTCTTTGGCTCTTAACCTGCCTGTGATTCCTACCAGGGACCTCCCTGGGCAGCCTCCTCTGCCTCCTGCCATCTTCCACATGATGTTTCCTCTGTCCACATGCCCTTCCCTGCACTTCTCTCCTGGGAAACTCAGGACCTGTCAGGCCCAGTCCCCCTGAGCACCCCACAGAGTCAGCCTCCCTGTTGACATTCTCATTACTTCCATGGTAGTCCCTCTCATGGTCATGATTAAAGCACTGCAGTATTTATTCAATGTCTGAGGGTGGGAATCGTGTCTGAAATGCTGCGGCTGTCAAATGTATCCAGAATAGGCCCAGTAGACAGATGGAGTGCCATCTGTGAGTTTCTGTGAGAAGTAAGGGTCAGAAATAGAGACCTTCCGCTAGGATAAGGGAGAATGGGAGCAGAAGAGAAACTGGGCATAAGGTCCCAGGAACCAGCAGTTGGACCACAAAGGGCGGCAAAGCTGACCTGGCCAAGAGCCCCAAGGGCCCCGAGGGTGCAGGGCTGCGACAGGGCCAGCCTGGAGTCCACCAGCCCACCCAGGGGCGGCTCCTTCCCAGGGATGCTGTTGTAGTAATTGTGTTCTGACACTTCATCCTCATCTCCCCAGGCGGACTCCTCCTGCCCGGTCAGCCTGGAGGACAGAGAACAATGCTGGTAGTACAGGGAGAGGCCCTAGCACCAGGGCAGTGGGTAGGATAGAAAGAACAGCAGGGCTCTTGGAGCATGGGAGGCACTGAGGCCTTACATGAGCTTCTGAGAGGAGAAGACTTGATTCAAATCTTAAACCCCCACCAATTAGCTAAGTGTTCCCACCAGGAAGTGCTTCTTGAATAAGTAACTGAGTCCTCTATTTCCTCATCTATAAAATGGGACATTGCACACTTTTCAGAGCTTTTGCACAAAACAGCAGGTTCTCAATTAAGCTCACTCCTTTCTGCCCACTTCTGCCCCGAGAGGCAGCCAGGGGCATGACACCTGGTTTACTCCCAGAACCAAGATGTCATGGGGTTGGTTGGAGGAACAACCTCCACCTCTGGCCCTGCAATTGCACTTATAGAAATATATCCTATGGGTGCTCATTCAGGCAAATGTGGATCCTAAGAGCAAAACATTAACCTGAAATTTTTTTTAGAAGATTTTAAAAAAAAAAAGGGGGGGGAGAAGCAACCTATCTGCCCCTCAGGTGGGAATCGAACAGATAAATTATACTGCATCCACACAGAGGAGTATTCTGCAGCTGATAAAAAGCATAGGCAGTTCCAGAGGCACAAATGAAGAAAAGCATCCCAGCTATAGCAGGTGGATAGCACTGTGCACAAGGCATGTGTGTGCCTGTGTAAGGGGCAGATGCATGTGTGCATAGCACTACTTGGCCTGGGTGGGCAGCAGAGACAAAGCTCACGCTGCCCATACACGTTCTTGCTGCTTCAATTTCTGATCAAGTGCATTACTTGGATTTCTAATACTTAACAGATATGTAAATAGCATTTTGTCTACAGCAAAGGGGCCAAATCCAGCCATGAGCTAGGAATGAGTCTTACAGTCTTTGTTGTTGTTGTTGTTGTTTTTGAGTCTCACTCTGTCGCCTTGGGTAGAGTGCTATAGTGTCATAGCTCACAGCAACTTCAAATTCTTGGGCTTAAGATATCCTCTTACTTCAGCCTCCTGAATAGCTGGGACCACAGGTGCCCATCAGGCTAGTTCTTCTATTTTTTTAAGTAGAGACAGAGTCTCACTCTTGCTCAGGCTGATGTTGAACTCCTGAGCTCAGGCGATCCACCTGCCTCAGCCTCCCAGAGTGCTAGGATTACAGGCATGAGCCACCACACTTGGTTGGTTCTTATAGTTTTAGATTGTAAATCCTAACTGGTTGAGAAAACATTCAAAGAATTATATTTTTGTGACATGTGAAAGTTACATGAAGTTCAAATTTCTGTGTTTATAAATAAAGTTGTTTTTTTTTTTTTGAGACAGAGCCTTAAGCTGTCCCCCTGAGTAGAGTGCTATGGCATCACAGCTCACAGCAACCTCCAACTCCTGGGCTCAAGCGAGTCTACTGCCTCAGCCTCCCAAGTAGCTGGGACCATAGGAGCCTGCCACAACACCCGGCTATTTTTTGGGCGCAGCCATCATTGTTGTTTGGCGGGCCCGGGCTGGATTTGAACCTGCCACCTTAGGTGTATGTGGCTGGTGCCTTAGTCGCTTGAGCCACAGGCGCTGAGCCATAAATAAAGTTTTATTGTCACCTAGCCACATTGTCACTCATCTTCTGTGGCCAGATGGAGGTGTCTATAACACAGTAGCAGCTGACAGCCTCAGGCTCGAGAGGGGTCAGCTCACTCAGCTCTCCCCTAATCCAGAGATGTGAGGGTCATATTTATCCCAGTTTCACAGATGAGGAAACAGATCCTCTGGTTGAGTGATGTTCTCAGGGACTCAGGAGCAAGGGACTTTGAGACTAAGACCTCAGGCCTGGAGAAGCCAGCATTGGGCTCTGCCCCAAGGGCCCAGGGGCCCAGGTCTGTCTCCAGGACCCAGAGAAGAGCAGGACTGGTTACCTGTCCAGGGGCATGACCACTGTGGGGGGGCTGTGCAGGTACTGTTTGAAGCGCAGCTCAAAGGCTTGGCCCACGGTGCTGATGACGCTCTGGGCGAGGCCCTCACAGCATTCCAAGATGTGGCAAGCTAGAGGGTAGTCAGTTACCATTGTGTAGCTTACTGCCCCCAGTCACAGGCCCCCACCCCAGCCTGCCCAAGTGGCCTCACCTCTCTGGTTGACAGGGTCCTTTGCAACGTAGGCCACGTAATCTGTCATGTCCTAGGAGGAGAGGGGCGGGGGCCAGCTGGACCAACCTGGGCCACCCTATTTGAGATGTCCAGCCACCCCCCCACCAGCAATGCAGAGGGATGGGGACCTTGGGTGTGGGGTCTAGGGGAGGTGTGAGGGTCTTGCAGCTGGAGGGGGTAAGAGGCTGCAAATCTACCCATCCCATCCCTCGCCTTACCGTGTCACCACCTGATGCAAAGGAGATGGATGGCATGTGATGGCTGGCGATGACCTGTGCCAAGGGACGCACACTTGATCAAGGCCTGCCTTGAGGGCTGGGTCCCAGTGGTGGACCAGGGCCACAGGGAGGGGATGAGGGGGTGCAGGGATGTGGGAAGGAGACATCCCCTGACTGGTGACCATGGCAGTGGGTCCTGTGTCAGCCCGGACAGCTAGGAGTCTGGCTGGACATGGAGGCTCCAGCAGGACAGGATAGGGGGCTGAGAAGGATGCAGACTCCATCTAAGGTCACACGGCCATGTGAGAGAGGAGAAACCACCCCAACTGTAGACACCCTCAACAGACAGACACCCAAACACTCACACAGGGACACATAGCCTGCACCCTCGATCACATACACAGACAGTCTTGGAGAGGGCACTGTCATGGGGGGGTGCCCACCACCCACCCCATACTCCTTACTCCCTTGTCCATCAGCCAGTGGCACCCATAAGCTGATTTGCATGCACATTGCATACTTTTGCATGGCCCCACCTAATTTACTGCCCCTCACTCAAGTCTCTGCAGGACCTAGTGCACTGTGGAGCCATGCACCAGGCACTCCTGCCACCAGCCGAGCCCCCATTCTTTCCACAGAATGTCTACTTCCCAGTCCCTTCTCTCCCTTTGTCTGACCCTTGTCCAGGGAGGAGGATCCTCTTGGAGCCTCAGTGTCCTGTCTGCAGGATGGTTGGCATGACCAGTCCATACCTAGCAGGCATGATGCAGAGACAGGAACCACATGGACATGGCCCACAGCTGCTCATTGCCAGCTCCATAAGTCTCCAGCTTCCTCTCTGGAGCCCTGGCTTTCCCTTGCCACTGTATACTCCCACACCAGCCTCAGGGTGCTGTCTAGCATGCCCCAGGATCCCATGTTTCCTCGATAAGCCCCAGCCCTGCATCATGGCCCTACCACCCTCTCCAGGATTGACTTCATTGCTCTCCCACCACGGCTCCCTTTCCTGCTCTTCACTCAGCACCAGCCCTGCCACCTCTGATAGCCCTCCAGGACACCCCTTCTAAGTTAAGTCACCCTAAGAGCGCTCTCAGCAACCTTGCTCCCAGCATAGCCTGCTCCTCCTCTCCCTTGGCAGTAGGCTCCCAGCCATCACATGGGTATGAGGTCCACATTCCCCAGCCTCCCACATTCCCATTTACTCACCAGGTGGACAGGTGGAGTGCTGGAGGCCAGGTATCTGTTTGCCAATGGCCAGCTGGAGCTGTTCTTCACAGAATGCCCAACACTTCAGATTCCACCCATGAGGGTCACTCCTGGGGTAACTTGCCTTATTGCCCGCAATTTCCCACCCCCAGGGAGCCATGCCCTTGATGTGTGGCTTCCAGTTTCTCCCACAGAAGAACAGAGCACGCTTCCAAAAGGATGAGATGGAGGAGTGGGTGCCTGGTACAGTTGGGCCTCAAGATACCTCTCAGGGTTCTGCCTTTGCCTTAAAGGAAGATGCTGGAGCTGGTGCTGCCCAGGAGAAGTATCAGGCACATGAGCAGAGCAGTGCCACTTGCCAAATCCTACCTTGGTCTGCTGACTCCAACCTACCCACAGATGCACAAGTAAATACTGATGAGGCGCTACTGCAGATTTGGGATCGTTTTGTTATGCAGTGTGTGCCTTGCTAGTCAATACAACCCCAGCCTAGGCCTCTATCGAATCTCAGACCAGAAAACCAACTGCCTACATATTGAAATGAAAAGTTTCAGTGTCCCATGGTCACCTGGGGCAGAGACAGGTACAGAGCATGTGGATGACCCTCCCACAACCTGGTCTCCTTCTGACCCTACCCTGGGTTCACACTACTCAGCTAGAAGCTTCCGGTAGGAACCAGGCAGCATCCAGCACTCTCTCCTGCCCTCACAGAGAATGTATTGGCAGAGTCTGACAGTTCTGCCTCTTAAATTTATCAGGAGTCTGGCCCCTTTCCCCTGCAGGCCAGGACCACCATGGGTTCTTGCACACAGATACCACCCACCCAGACCACTGCTCCACTGACCCCTATCAGTGTCAAGTACAGATCAATGTGACACCAGACTTCACAGCCTAAAACTTTCTGGAATGACTGTGTCTGCTGGATTAACCCCAAACTAACTTCTCTCCCTGAAAGACACTGCCTCTGCCTCAGATTCCCTTACCACTCCCAGAAGTCCATCTAGAACATGGTGCCCTACATGTGCTCAGAACAACCCTCACTGGGCTTCATAATGCTTCTTGGAATTTGTAATTATTCTCTCATCTCTGTAAGTATAGTTTGTCGTTTACTTCCACTTGAAGATTGGAAGCCAGTGTCTCTCCCTCTGGGCGCTATGGATATCTGTGGCCAGGCCATTCCCTGGGGAGGGGCCATCCCTGGCACTGCAGAGTGCTGAGCAGAATCAGTGCCTCCACCCACCCTACGCCAGGAGCACCCCAGCTATGACGACGGCAATTGTGCCCTCTACTCCTGGCTCTCAGTGGGGCCTCAGCACACGTTTCCAGATAAACCATTCACAATGATGCCACCTGCTGCACACAGCCCTGCGCCCCACCATCACTCTCCCAGCTTCACCTTGGAGTGAATCCAAAGATTCCTGGATCATCCCAGGAGGGGGCTGGGGGAGCTGAGGGAGGAGCTGGGGGCAGCACCCACCTGGCGTGTGGCAGGCACGGAGAGGTTGAGGCCATCGATGGAGATGTTGATGGAGATGCTCATACCTGCAAAGCGCAGGTTGCTCTTGCCCAGGATAGATGCCAGGGCCTTGTTGGGGGCCTAGGGTGAGGGGGAGCACAGAGAGGACCAGCCATGTGGGGTGTGACCACAAAAGGCTCCCAGAATGGCCAAGGCACCCCCACAGTCTCTGACTGCACCCACCAGCCCCACTGGGGAACCACAGCAGCCCTTCACTCACTTTCTTCTTCCAGGAGCCCCGGACACCAGGCACAGCTTCATGGAGTCGGTTGATGGCTTCCCTGGGGTTGGAAGGTGCTGCACTTAGAAGCTTAGTGGGGAGCGGTCAGTGAGGGACTTGGGGAGAGGAGGAGCCTGAGACAGGAGGGGGACTTGGGGGATAGGAACTGAGAGAGGAAGAGGATTCAGAGAGGCATTGAGTGGAGGTTAAGGAAGGGGGAGGAGGGAAAAGGCAGAGGGAGCTGGGGCATGTAGAGGGGAGGAAGAGAACTGGGCACTCGCCCACTGCTTGCATCCTGCAGATAGCCCTACCCTAGGCCCTGCCCCTACACCCTGCAGCTAGCCCTGCCCACTTTGCACTAAGGAGATGGACCTGCCCTTGTCCCCTAGCACTATCTTACTGGTAGCCCCACCCTCAGACTGTCTACTTAACCAAGCAGACACCTGCCCCCAACCCCACACCCTCTTTCTTTCCCAGTGACTAGGGTGTCCCTGGGCTTCACCCAGCATCCAAGATGCAGGGTCAGATCCAGGGATTGGACACAGTGAGCAGGAGGCCCCCAGCCTGACCCCTGTCCTATGTTAGCCCTCCTGTACCTTGGGAGGAATGAGATCTGAGGGCCTTGGTGGTGACAGGTACTGACTCCAAACAGTGTAGGGGAGAGTCTGAGAAACTGCTGGTCCTGAGAGGAGCATGGGTCATATCAAACCCCCCAAAGCAGGAATAACCCAAGTGTCCATCAATGGGTGGTTAATAGACACACATAATGTGGTCCATTCATGGACTGGAATATCACTCAGCCATGAAAAGTATGGAGGCTCTGACAGGCTACAATGTAGATGGACCTTGAGGATATCACGCTCCATGAGAGAAGCAGACACAGGACACACAGTGTGAGATTCCATTTATGTGAAATATCCAGAATAGGCAGATCCACAGAGAAGGGAAGTGGATTTGTGTTCACCAAGGGATGATAGGATGGCTGCTAATGAGAACAGAATATCCTTTGGGGGGTGAGTGAATGTTCTAGAACTAGATAGAGGTAGTGGTTGCACAACTTTGTGAAGATACTAAAAAAGTATTGAATTGTACATTTCAAATGGGTGAATTATTTGATAGGTGAATTTTATCTCACATATTCATATGCAAACTAATTTTTAAACCTATAATGAATGGAATAAACTAGTTTTTACATGAAAAAAGATGTTAGTCTCCTCCCTGCTTAAGCCCTGGGCATATCCAGTATGTTTCATGACTGTTCTGGACAGCTCAGAGCACTGGGAGGTCACTATCCTTTCTGCTGCTCTTCCCTGGTTCCAGAGGAAGCTGCCGGTACTGGGGCCTTCTCAACACCCCTGGAAAAACCAGCACAAGTCTGAGAAAGACCTAGGTCTGGGGTGCCCTGGTGATTGCGATGCATGTAGCAGAGCCCAGGTGAAACCAAGGGCAGTACTTGCCAGCCCCTCCTAACCCTGCAGCACTGCTCCCTAACCCCACAAGTGAGAAGTCCAAGTGTCCCCACACCAACTTCTGCTGCCCTTCATGGCATTGCATGAACAGAGCCTCACCTGGTCACCTGCGTGCGGGTGTTAAAATCTAGAGAGCGCATGGAGCGAAGGACCTCGATGCAGCCCATGTACTAAGGGGAAAGAGAGAACAAGGTGTCAGAGGCAGATCCAAAGTGCCCAGAAAAACCCAGCTGCAGCTAGAGGCTGAGCCCAGTCCCCCTCTTCCATAAGCCCTTCACCTTCTAGCCTAATCTGAGGCTGAGCCTTTTCTCTGTCCCCTGACAACTCCAGACAGCTGTCTCAGGGGTCTTTGCACCTGCCTCCTACCTTCCCACACCTATTCCTAATACTAGCTCCTCCTCCACCTCAAGGCTCAACTTCAACATTACCCCTCCTCTAACTCTAAGTAAGTTTTTTCTATTATGATTTCTTCAGAATCTGGTTCTTTCCTCCTGAGGCTCTATTGTGTCTGTTCATTGAACCCTCTGGCCCTCTTTGATGGTCTCTTTCTGTTCACTACAACCTAAACCAAGACACAAAGGGATGGTGGCAATTTTGTTCACTCCCATAACATCCATGCCCAGCTCAGGGTCTGGCCCACAGGAACAAGCCATTGCCTACCTGGCCCTCTACAGGGAGTTTGCTGACTCCTGGCCCAGAGGAACATGTCCATGGAAAGGTGATTCACAGTCTCAAAGAGGCAGTACTAGGGACACAAGGCATAGGGGATCGGCAAGGACCAGGAGGTAGCAGCCACAGTGTCCTTCCAACCCTAGCACCCTTCTGGGGGATGGGAAGAGAATGAGCAGTGACTATTCATGGGAATAGGTTTCCTGAGGTCATGAAAAAGCTCTGGAACTGGCTCCATGCCTGTGGCTCAGGTGGCTGGGCACCAGCCACATACACCTAGTGTGGCGGGTTCGAATCCAGCCTGGGGCCGCCAAAACAACAATGACAGCTGCAACCAAAAAATGGCCAGGCATTGTGGTGGGTGCCTGTGGTCCCAGCTGCTTGGGAGGCTGAGGCAGGGGACTCGCTTGGGCCCAGGAGTTGGAGGTTTCTGTGAGCTGTGATGCCATAGCACTCTGCCCAGGAGAACAGCTTGAGGCTCTATCTGAGAAAAAAAAAAAAAGTTAAAAAAAAAAAAGCTCTGGAACTAGAAAGAGGTGGTGGTTGCAAAATATTATGAATGTACTAAATGCTACTGAATTGTATACTACAAAATGATTAGTAGTTAATTTTCTAACATGAATTTTATGTCATATTTTTAAAAAATAATAAACACAAATGTTTTGATTGTCCAACTCCATCTTTAGGGCTTTATCTCACAGATATACCAGCCTGTGGGCTACAAGTGTGTATACAAGTGACTGTGTGGGTTGGTCCAGGCTTCACTCTTCTCCATGGGATCCACATGGTTGGAATAGAATGCACAAGGAACCAAGAAAGATGCAAGAATGTAGGCAAGGAGGCAAAGGCCATAGAACCCAAGGTCCGTCTGTGATAAAGGCTAGGGGTACATCCTGAGCAAGTTGGGGAGCCATGAGAGAGTTTTAAGCAGGAGAATGAATTAAGCTGCCTCATCTTCTGTTAGATGGATGGATGGATGGATGGATGGATGGGAAGATGATGGATGGATGGATGGAGGGGGGATGGAGAATGGAAGGGAGGGAAGATGGATGGGTGGGTGGATGAAGGATGGATGGATGGATCGGAAGATGGGTGGATGGATGAATAGTAGAGAATAGATGGAAGATAGAGGGATGGATGGGAGGGAGGGTGGATGGGTGGATGAATGACTGGATGGGAGGATGAATGTATAGATTGGGGGGTGAAGGATGAATGGAGAGTGGATGGTTGGATGAAGGATGGGTTGATCAGTGGAGAATGGATGATGGATGGGTGGATGGAAGATGAATGAAGGATAGAGGACTGGGTAAATACAGGATGGATAGAGGATGGAGGATGTATAGATGAAGGCTAGAAGATCATAAGGCAAAGAATGAATGGATGAGGAATGGAGAATGGATGGAGGATGGAGAATGGTAGGATGATGGGTGGATAGATGGAGGCTGGAAAATGGATGGAGGATGAAAGATCCATGAAGGATGAATGGGTAGAGGATAAATGAATGGAGGATGAACAGGTGGAGGATGGTTGAATGGATGGATGAATAAAAAGATGAATGGATCAGCATGTACTATATGCCAGGCATGCATCAGACATGCAGGACCGCGAAGTGAATTAGCCATGGTTGTTATCCCCAGCTAGTTCTTCCACTGAGTAGCCAGCTTTGGAGGCACACCCACTGCCCAGTGGCTGTTTTCCTTCATACAGAGCATGTATCTCTAACATGAGTATCTGAGCCAGTGTCTGGTGCTCTATGGCCATAGTGTAGAGGTTCCTAATTCATGTTCCTGCCCCAGGCTCCCCCCTAATTAACATCCAGCCCTTTTGGTGCAGCCAGAACCCACCTGCATGCCTCAGCCTGTCCCTGGATGAACAATGGGGTGTGTGGGCCACAACCTAAGTGCCCAGGAGAGATAGAGAGTCTAACCCTCTTTGGCCCACAGCAGCTCATGAGAGATGTGAGAATAGGAATTGCAAACTCAGTCCCTGCAGGATCAGGCAGGTAAGGTGAGGTCCAGTGTGGTGATGACTCTTTTTTCTTTTTTTTAAGAGACAGAGTCTTACTTTGTCACCCTTGGTAGAGTGCTGTGGCATCACAGCTCACAGCAACCTGAAATTCTTGGGCTTAAGTGATTCTTTTGCCTCAGCCTCCCAAGTAGCTGGGACTACAGGAGCCCACCAGAACGCCTAGCTATTTTTTTGTTGTAGTTGTCACTGTCGTTTAGCAGGCCTGAGCTGGGTTTGAACCTACCAGCTCCAGTGTATGGGGCCGGTGCCCTAACTGCTGAGCTATGGGCACCAAGCCCATTGCTGACACTTTTCATATACCAGCTCTGCTATAAGTATACTGTGTACATCACCCTTTAATCCACTCCACCCAGTTCCATATGCTACAGGGCAATAATTGCCCCCCAGGGAGTAGACACCTTAAGTAACCTGCTAGAAGTCACACAGCTTATAGGCCCAGAGCTGGGACTTGAGCCTCCACCCTTGGGTGCTGGAATCTGCCCTGCTTTCCATGGCACTACAGGAAGTGGCAGGACCTCAGCAAACCCACCCCCCATGCCCAAGAAGGGTTCAGTTTTGCCAGACCATCTGATTTTTTGTAAAGAGACCAGAAATCAGGCGGCGCCTGTGGCTCAAGGAGCCAGCCCCATATAACAGAGGTGGTGGGTTCAAACGCAGCCCAGGCCAAAAAAAAAAGAGAGAGAGACCAGAAACCCAGAGATTTGTGTGGAAACTCCCTAATTTGTAAATGTTAGTGTTACAGTCTCAATGTTTGTGTCTCCCCCAAATTCCTATGTTGAAACCTAATCCCTAATGTGAGGGTATTTGGAGACAGGGCCTTTGGGAGCTGATGAGGTCATGAAGGTCCTACCCTCATGAATGGGATTAGTGCCCTCATAAAGTAGGATCAGGACCCAGAAGACAGCCCTCACTCTTCCACCATCCAAGGACACAGTGAGAAGTCAGCCCTCTGTAAGGAAGGACCTCACCAGACACTGAGTCTCCCAGCACCTCGATCTTGGACTTCCAGCCTCCAGAACTGTGAGAAATAAATTTCTATTGTTTATTAGCCTCCCAGTCTGTGGTACTTTGTCATAGCAACCCAAATAGACTAAGACCGTTGGCAATAAAATGAATTCTTTTAAATAGAAAGTGGGAGACAAAAAGTCAAAAGTCAAATTCAGCCTTAGGCCTGCCAATGAATCTGACCTCTGACCTAGAATCACAAACTCTCTGAACACCAGCCATAGTGGTTTGAATAGTGTCCTTAAAAAAGAAACGTCCACATCCCAATGCCCAGAACCTGTGAATGAGATCTTCTTTGGAAAAGAGGTCTTTCAGATCTCATTAAGTTAAGGATATTGAAATGAGGTCATCCTGGATTTGGGGTGACCCCTAACCCAATGACTGGGGTCCTTATGAGACAAAGACAGGATACTTTAGCATGGTATGTGAATTATATCTCAATATTTAAAATTTTATAAGAGAAAAAGAGGAAGCCACATATTATTATTACAAACCCCTGGTTTGGTGCCCAACAGTGTTTTCCCAGTATCCATTAAAATAAATTATTCAGGCTCAGCGCCTGTGGCTCAATCGGCTAAGGTGCCAGCCACATACACCTAAGGTGGCGGGTTCGAATCCCCAGCCCGGGCCCGCCAAACAACAATGATGGCTGCAACCAAAAAATGGCCGGGCGTTGTGGCGGGCACCTGTAGTCCCAGCTACTTGGGAGGCTGAGGCAGGAGACTCGCTTGAGCCAAGGAGTTGGAGGTTGCTGTGAGCTGTGATGCCATGGCACTCTACCCAGGGGGATAGCTTGAGGCTCCGTCTCAAAATAAATAAATAAATAAATAAATAAATAATTCAAATGAAAGGTGTCCATTCACACAGAAATCTTAAGCTTTTGGCCAGTGAGGTGGCTCACGCCTATAATCCCAGCACTGTAGGAGGCAGAAGCAGGTGGCTTGCCTGAGCTCACAGGTTGGAGACCAGCCTGAGCCAGAGCAAGACCCCGCCTCTAAAAATAGCCAGGTGTTGTGGCAGGCACCTGTAGTCCCAGCTACTTGGGAGGCTGAGGTAAGAGAATTGCTTGAGTCCAAGAGTTAGAAGGTGCTGTGAACTATGACACTACAGCACTCTACTAAGTGAGACTCTGTCTCAAAAAAAAAAAAAAAACTTAAGCTTTTGCTAAAGCAAATAAGTGAAAGCTTATTGGGAACCAAGAAACCTGCACCATCTCAAAATATCTCTATCCTGCAGCATCCAAGAACAGACAAAACCAACTATGGTGATGGGGACTGGGTGTTGGTAACCTCTGCTGACCAGGAGTGCCATGGGCAGCCTTGGGCTGAAAACCAGCAGAGCTTGGCCTGGATGTGGTCCACAGGGCGACAATGCAAACCTTTGAGCTGCATACTTGCTTGAGATTGCTTTATGCACTTCACTGTACATGACAGGTCTAACAATTAAGTTCTGAATTCATCCTAGAAAA